AGTCAGTCACTGATACTCAGCTTCAACTTCAACATCAAAAAACGCATCTTCCTATTCAAAGCCAGGTCTCTTTACAAGTTCCATGAAGCCTTCAAGAAGTGTTTCTTTGACAGTCTGCTTGGGTCCTGAGGCTTATGATGGCCTGGGTGATCTACAGTATATAGTATATATGTATACATATACTTATATATAATTATATATATATTCTCAAGAGCCAAAACCTTTCGAGATCGGCCGCCCAGTGTATCATATCAAGCAGGACAAATTATGTGGACCTCTTTGGTAGTAGCAACAACATCTTCAGCCAAACCATTGTTGGTTTGCTAGCAGCTCCACAAGGTTCGAGGCGATAAACATCGATAAACACCATCCACCTTCCACTCGTGCCCACCCTGGCACTTCAGTTTGACCAGCCACTTCCACTGGGCATCTTCCACGTGCGCCGGCTTGGGGCCGGAGGCCTGAGAGCAGGCAAACTGCCTGGTGGAAGAGGTGGCTGTGTCTTTCGAGTGAGTGAGGGAAGTCCCCCAAGACTTGATGTGTAGGAGACAAATCAATAAAGCTCGGTTTTTGGAGCCAGCACTCGGTTGGTCTCAAATATATTGAATATTCTACCCTTGGTCAAGAACTACACAAACATTACCCCTATCAGGGAATGGTTTTCTGTCATGGCTTTTGGACATCAAGTGTGACTAGCCCTACACAACTATGCCCAAGCTCATCTGCTTGTTGTTGGAAGGCAAATTCTAGAAAAGAAGTTGGACCAACATGTTTGGTTGGCTCACTTGTAGCGATAACCAAAACAACCCACGATAAAAGACTCAATCGTTGAGTAAAGTGTCCATGGAATCTTGATCTACAGCATGGACATGCAGGGACTTCGTTAAGCTACACATGAGGCACTTATCAATCTACACAGTGAGCTTGCATGAGCATCCTAGTGAGTCAAATTTGGCTTCATGTACACCATATTTTGGTCAGTGAACGCTCTACTTGGGGCAGTCTCCCAACGATTCAAGAGCCCGTGGCCAAGCGTCGTGCGCCGTGCTGGATGCCCCTCCAGTTCGTGCCACGGGCAGCACGGCGATCCCCGCTGCACGGGCGTGTGCAATCCTTATATCACAGTTTTGATTTGAAGAACACAGCAAAGTGGCTTCTGACCTTTCAACATCTTTCAACCAGCCGGCCCATGCCTGGAATCAGCACGATTGCAAAGACCAGGTCAAATGGCCTCTGTCAATTTACTGGGAGTCACCTCTTATGTCATGAGGGTCTAGAGTCTCGGCCGCAGGGCTGGGATGACTGGGTCTGGACTGAGTGGCTCCTCCGCTGTGCCCGGGCCGCCTTCTACCGAAATGCCCACCTTGGTCAGGGCATCGTTTCCGGACTAGGAGCAAAGGACGCTACTAGGAGCAAAGGGCATCGCTACTAGTAACAAGGACGCTACTAGGAGCAATTCCAAATCTCGGAATCTCGTCCTTCAAAACAATGTATCATCATGTATCATCGTATCAATTGTTCTACAATATCCCGTTAAACACCGCTAAGCTATGTTAAGCTGATATATATATATATAGTTGGTTGGATAAGAATCTTGTCACTTCACCAAGACAACCGATCAACTATTTCAGGCGAACATTGACAAGCATTGACCGGTATATGTAATTCTGTATGACAGGTCCTTGCGCACGTAGAAACCTGTCATACGTCTCCGTCCCTGTCCGATGGCCAGCGCCTGCGCGCTCTGTGCGAGAATCTTCCGGCGCTCCAAGTTGTCAGCCCCCGCCTCCAAGACCTGACCAAACGCTGTTCAACCTGCTTTAGCATGCTTCTGGCTTCTTAGCATGCTTTAAGCGGAAAGTGTAAGACCGAAAACAATTTCAAGATAAATCATATTAAACATGTCATATAATATATATATATATAGATGCGATGGCCAGGTCGCCACTTTGACAACTCTGAATTCTTGAAAAGGCATCTGGACTGACTTGGAGGTTGTGTTCTACATTTAGATGAAATATCGCCCAGGCACTTTGCCGAAGTCAAAGGGGCACTTGTAATTCCTGCGGAGTCGCACCGATGGCCGAAATTGGGTAACCTATCACAGGGATTTCCAAGTAGTCCACAATGGCTCCACTGTGCGTTTACAGGCCAGTTCTTACTTCTAGAATCTTGCTCGCCTTGTGAATCTGTAGGGAATCATGGGCTCGTGTGTCCGCGACTGAAACGGGGACGAAAAGGTGCAGCAACCGTCCAAAGAAACGGTGTGACTTTCGGAAACCTTGCTATAGGCGCCTATAGGTACTGTGAATTATATAAAGGGATATAAAGGGATCCCTTTTGGATCCTTTTGAGGTCTAAATTGAGAGCATTTGATGGCATTTGAGGAACCTTCGACCGCCGACCTGTGTCACTCGCTCGGACCGAACCGGCGCTTCGGCGCTCCTCGGTGCGAGATGAAAGACCTGCGCTTCACCGTCCAAGGCCTTCGACGGACAGGGACAAAAGACTCGAACGCTTCGAGAAGCTATTCGACCGCGCATGAAAAAGACATGATTCCATTTTTTTTGCGACATGTTTGCAGAAGTTGCCTGGACTTGATTGGTTTGGGTTGCTTGGTCTCTCCATGTCTCTCCTACTGCTGACCCTGACACAAACTGCGGCCCGAAGTGCGAGTTCCTCCTTCGCTCCGACCGGATCCCGAAGCGCGAACCTGCCAAAAGCTGCGGGCAATGACCTCGTGGACGATGGCGTTGGCGCCTGTGAGCAGGACCACCTGAGTCGAAGCTCAGGTATAGGAGCTCCAGCTCCCTTCAATCAAATCTTACTTGATAAACAGGTTGGGATGGTCTTGGTTGCGTTTTTCAGGAATTGAGTCATAATTTTGACTTGAAGACTTTGTCAGTCACAATTTCGCCGAAAGTCAAAATCATGTCCAACAAATGTACTGTAGTGATTCGGAAGCCTTCAGGTCAGGGGTATGTCCCAAAAACGTCGCGTTGCCGCTTCGCCCAAACCGGGTCCAAACCGGGTCCTGCCTCCCTCCCGCAGCGTTCGGCCAGCTTTCGCCCAAGCACCTTGCGCTGTTGGTTGGTTGGGTTGGAGACAATGGGGGGCAGTTGATTGGTGCGCTTGGAAAAAACATGGTAGGTCGTGTCTGTGGAAGATCCTTCACTCCGAACACCTTCTGTCTCTTTGTCAACCACTCTGTTGAACTTGAAACGCTCGACGACAAGAGTGAATCACAATCATCGGACATCTAAGGAACGGATCTGTCACCCAGCTAAAAAAATTGATATATTGATCGGCAGTTGACCTTTGGAATGGAGCACCAACAGTTAAAGTTAGGTTAGTTTCAGCAAACAATAAACCTACCGTAAACCGCAGCATGTTGCACTTCCCTTGATTTTCCCTGAACCGGTTACAACAACCCAAGAGACCTGCAACCTGAAAAGAAGAAAAAGCCCCAAAGAAAGGGAGGTCGGACCTCGCAAAAGTCCTTGGAGTCGGCGCCGTAGAAATGGGTGCTGCCAAAAAGAGCGACCCGAAGACCTCCGCAGCGACGGGAGAAATCCGGAGAAACCGTCGGGCTGCGACGGGAGCGAGTCGAAGGACTGAACGTCCAATTGGGAGTTTAACACGTTCACATATGTTGACCCAAAAACCGCACATGTCACAGGTGTTCATGTCATTGGTCTGTTTTCCTGACTTCTCCGGCTTTAGTTCAAGTATGTTCAAGTCTATTCACTGGCTAGGAACATGTTTCCAATTGGACGTTACGAGTAGGTTGTCAAAAAACCTTCTATGTTTCCCTATACCACTTCTCATCGATTCTCATCGTTTATATTCTTCCTTGTCGTTTTACAGTGCTTTGACCAACTGCAACATGTGCAGTATACATGTGTGCTGCATGCATTCGTGCTGTGGAATGGCAGACACGACGCCATGGCCGTTGCGTTGCCTTATTGTTTTGTTCCCGGTACAAACTTCTATTGCTATGCCCAAACAAAGACTCCAAGTTGTCCTTGATTTGCGGGGGAGGCAAACCTGAGATGAAACGCATATGACGTGTTGTCAACCTGCAGGGCTTTCGTTATATTTTCTGCATTATCGTTTATATTTATGGTGCATATATAGATCATCCTTTTGACAAAACGGGCATGTAAAGACAAAGGCGTGATTTCAAATTTGTCGGACAACCATGATCAAAGGCAACATGTGAACTTGATAAGCCAACAATTCGTGTGCTCGCAGTCTTCAGTGTGTTCCCAGAAAAATACGCAATTGGCGCATCTCTTTGTGACCAACTGAATCCATCGCCTTTCTTTGGCAGCATCTCTTCAACGCTGGTTGTCATGGGCGCTGAGACGCAGCCCATCGAGAAGCACAGCCAGGAGCAGCAGCAAAGCACAAGGACTGGACGCATCTAAAGGGGGTGCTGCAACCCTGTCATCAATTCTTCTATGGGTTCTTGCAATCTAGTTGAGAAAAAAGGAAACATGATTGATTATACAATAGTTTCTGCAATATTGATTATGTGGCCTCTATGCCATATCCAGAGTAGCCTGTGTAGTCCACCAATCTTGGCACGACTCAAACCCGGGCAATCATCGGAAAATCACCGGAAATCTTGTCTCAGCAGACTCTCGCGGACTGAGAGCCAAGGGCTGGCTGCAAAGTGGCGCGTTTGAGATCCACAATAGGCAAGAGAATGCAAAAGAGTAGATTTCATCTTGGAAAGACCAATCGCCCTTGGTTGTATCATGCTGTATCCAATGGAAGCTGGTTACAGCAATCGGCTAGGTCCGCTAGGTTCTCGCGCAGCAAAAAGTTGATCAAAAAAGGTAGTCTGAAAACAAGACTGCTCAGTAACCACAAAATCACAAAAACAAAACAATGGGGCACTGTGTTCATTTGTGTTCTGTTTGTCCTGGTGATGCCTGCTTCTTTCGATGCCCGTCCAGGATATCGAAATAGAACAAACATGCGTCCGGGCAGTCCTCTCTTCGCAAGAGGTTTCCCCAATGTGGGTCCTCAGCACGGGTATAACTGGTAAGCCCCATATATATAACGGTCAAGCATACTCAAGGTAACCTAATTGCTCGTTGACTTGTTGTGTTTCGTGCTTCACTTTTGCGCTGGTGTTATAAGTGTTATGGAGCAGGAACAAAAAGACCTCGCTTGCCAGCTTGCTGGCATGTCCACGACCAGAGTCACTTGTGGCTGCCGGTGTTTCAAAAGAGGCAAATCTCATCTCTTATCAGGGGCTCTTTTGAACTGCTAGAACAATTGGTCGGCTTCCCGGCCGCATGAAGTGATCCGAGCTCCAGCAACATGGCCTCGGGAGAAGAGATTCACCAAAAGTTGGTGAGATTCCACCCGTAAGATGTTGATTCCAGGATATTAAAGGCAGCTTGTTCGAGTGCGGTACAGGATTAACTACATCATGCTACATCAACTGCATCGTGGACCCATACCCTTTGTGGGAGAACTGTCACAAAACTGCACGGCCGGCTGCATGTGACGTCTGAATTCGAAGGGCACCTCCCACATGAATTGGTCCTGAGATGTCCTGAGGCACATCATGAACACCACGACACCATACACCGCGCCGCAGAAGTCAGTGCAAGCCCAGAACTCATGCCAGTTCCCTATGAGACGCCGTGCATTCAGGAAGTCAAACAAGTCAACGCATAGCACCATCAGGACCCCGAATCCCACCAAGCAGTCATTCCACATGAAGGCCACTTAGAAGTGTTGGCGCATGTGTACATCCCAAACAATCAAACAATGCAACCATAAGCTCACAGCTGAATCTGTCAGACTTTCTCTTTCCTGTTCCTTTCGTGGAGGCGCAAAAAAGTCCAATGTTAGTCCAAACACAACAGCTAACAGCTAACAAGAACAGTAGGATCATACAGCATAGATTATTTTAAATGGATCATCAATGATCATCATATAGCATATCCACCAAGAGACTTTAGGTAGCTCCACAAGCCTGGGGCCTGGTTTTTGCCCAGGTGCCAGATAGCAGGTCATGGCCACGGCTTGGAGCCGCTGGGCCTCCGACCAACGGACACAAAACATGAAGCCAGCAAGGAAAGCAGGGGAACCGTCAGGGGAAGTTGCGAAAACGGAGACACCACACAGCTGGGAACTCTGGCGCCAGGGAAAAACCATGCAAACTGGCATGGCGGGGCTGCCACACAGTTCTCCACCTTTGCCAGACTCTCACCCACTGCCGCGATTTTCATCCTCCAAATCCCAAAGACCCATCGGATTGCATGGGTCAAGATTATACAATTATTATATAAGATTAATATACAATAATATAAAATTAAATATTATGGGATGACCATTCCCTTACCAAAGGGGGTCCCGATTGAGATCATTGAGGTTGAAGAATAGTTCCTACTGAAACTGAATATCAATCCTGGGTTCCTTTAACCCACTACAACCGTGTTTAGACCATGGCACCTATGAAAGAACACCCAAACTGCAAGGCCTTAAACAACACGACACGACAGCCGTTGTTTGGTCGCAGTCATATCACTCTAAGGAAAGCAATGGGTTGGGTGTTCCTGTTGAGGTGTGCCACCAAGTAGCGGTGCCAAAATGATGCGACCAAGTAGTGGCGACATTTGATCTTTTGGCCTTCTGGGGTCGGTGACCGTAAGCCTTCATCCAAATTGTCTGTACAAGAGATGGGTTGGACATGGTCGGACTTCGGGTTTGTCGAGGTGCACCAAAAACTCGACGGCAACTTGTCGCACGGCAATGGCATACATACATACCTGTGCTTTGGGTCATCTGGTCTATGTGTCTACAAATTGCCCCCACGTACACGACAAAGTGCGTGTGGCGTGAATATTGTGCAGGTTTGGTATTTGGTTTCTCCCTGTCGATGGATAATTCATGACCATTCCCCTGCACAAACTCAATGTCAAACAACTTGTAGAAACACTGGATTCTTTTGAAGTTCCACACAAAGAAGAACTCCCACAGACCCGTTCTCGTTCCTTTCGACGTCCCAACCTACGAGTACTCCAACAGACCGGCCGTTTGATGTGCGCTTAGCCCGCGCGGTGGACATCGGTGGAAGACGCCCACAGGAAAACAGCCACTCGGTGGGTTTTCCTCGCCTCCTCCAGGTCGCGAGCGGCCGTGAGCTCCAAGCGTTCGCCCTGCACCCATTCGGTGACCTTGCGGCCACCGTTGTGGCTCGTTGCGGCCACCGTGGTCGGACCGTGGCAGGCGATGGCCGCCAAGTAGCTAAGCTCCAAGGAGCTCCGAGTCGTTTTTGCGCCTTCGCTTTGTTGTGAGCCTTGTTCTGAGTTTCTTGTTTGCATCTCTCCAGGCTCCGCACCAGGACTGAAGACGTGGTCAGCTCTGGGACCTCGCATGGCTCAGGCGAAAAAGAGAAGCATGGCAAACAGCTCCAGCTGTTACAGTAGGGTCCTACTTCCGGGCGCTTGGATTCATTGGATTCAACAAACCCATCTGTCCGGAGATTTCAGACTCGACACACTTTCGCTTTCGATCGTTTTTCATTTCGGGGAGGTCATGATGGGATAGAACTCTAGAACCTAAGCAGCCTCACTATTCATCTGACACAACCATTCCTTTAATCGCTACTAAGAGCAAGGACGCTACTAGGGGCTCCTGGCATCGCTACTAGGAGCAAGAAGCTACTAGGAGAGCCGCCCTCACTGGGTGCCCATGCGGGCCGTGCCGTGGTGACGGAACCCAAGGAGAGCTTGCTGGCGAAGCGGGAGAAGGCAACGGAGCGCTCGGCCTGGGACCAAGGCTACGAGAAAGACCTGTGAGGGCTCAAATTTGCAGCAATTTGCTTGAGAAACTTCATTACATTAAAGTTCTTCCAATCGAAACATTTTGGTGACTTGCTCATAGGAGGCTCTACAGATCTAAGAGTTTAACTAAAGGAGTAGGAGCTTCTCCATCACTGAGCAGGCGGTACGAGGTATGATCCTGACTATGAGTCTCACTGGTGTGCAGTTGCCAGTCATCAACCATTTTAGAGTTGTTGGTGTGGCGGCATGCTTCCAGCTTTAGCCATTATCACAGTATCAACAAGTCCATCCATCATGTCATTCATGAATTGTTCCATTGGATGAAGAGCTCCATCGATTTGCCACGGATTTGTATCCCCATGGCGCAACAGAAGTACCAACGAGACCACAACTCCACGGCCCACGAATTTGCGAATCCTCATCTTGAACTGCTCCCAGCTTTGTGATGCGTGCACCATTATCACCATTCCAAGGTCAGCATGACATGGCACAAGTGAGCACGTGTGAACAGCAACAAGGTCCCCTTGACGAACATGGCGACAAAGGCAGGCAGCATGTTACTGATCCTTTGACATCCTTTGACCAAACTGGTGCATGAACAGGCATGGATATCCCCGACTGCATCCGACAAGCATCCACTGTGATCCAATAGTCAATAATGAGTGAAATTTGTGATTTGTGTGCTATGCATACATGGTAAAGGGACGTAGATTCAATTATATATATAGTTTCATCCAAGCAAATAAGCTCAACAAGTCACCCCAGCATCCCGCGCCTCTCGTGTGAAGTCGAGCTCATCCACTAAGCGTGCCCCATACTCGTCCACCAACGCAGGAAGCTGGGCCCGGGGAAAGTGTCAGCTTGGAGCGGCTAGATTCAGAATTCAATGTAATGATGTCCTTTTAATCTGAGAAACTTGATTGAAGGTGAGTGGGTCGCAAGGTTGTGCATGCAACACAACTATCTGCAAAGAGGACCGAAAAAGGTGCGTCTCCCGTCTCTAGTGAGTTGGGTCTTTTGTATGCATCCTCCATGTATATGTAGATTATTTAGGTACGGACATGATCAGGTATCAGCTGTAAACTGCAGTTGTTGAGCACGAAAGCACTGCCTCAACAAGCCCTCTTTGCTGAAATTTGACCAAAAGGCATAACAACCAAACAGTGAAGCATGAAGCTCTACAACATCTGTAGAACCACTGCGGCCACCGACTGAGCCGATTCTTCACCACTGATTCTAAGCCGGTCTCGTCCATCACCATCCGCTGCCAGGACCCCGGACATCGGTATTGAGTTGGAAGAAGCGTTGGACCCATCCGGCCAAGTGGCGGAGGATGTACCTCGGAGGTTGGAACCGAAGCGTTGGCTCCCACGTTCTATCCCTGAAAGAGATATTACGTCCTGAACCCAGGGAAGTCATGCTCTGCTCGAACGGACCTGCTCAACAATTATAGTTGCCCTGCAGTTCTGAAAAAAAGAGGCGATCAAGTCATCATATCTTGAGCTGATATTATGGGACGGTAGCAGTTTGAGCCCGCACTCTCCCAACCTACCATTTGCAGCTCCATGAAGCTGCTTGAAGAAGTTATCATGTTTCCATGTCGTGGCCAGCAAAACAAACCCATCTCCAGATGGGATTCCCCACAGGTCGACGCAAATCTGCCCTCGAATGCCAGGCCTGCCAGAAGGGGCGGGTGGGAATCATGATGCTATAGTATAGTGACTATTGCAATTGTATGCAACTAATTGTAACTACATATATTTTAGCACCTTGACAACCGTCTGCGTCACAAGGATACACATGCAATATAAATGGCGCACCAACCACCTACCAAGAATCCAACGAACATATCCTGTAGATTCCGTACAACCCCCAAGCTCCACAGAGGAACCTTGCCAAACGAAATGTCAAACTGATGACGCACCTTTCTTGGATTTGGGTGGCGCCTTCCACAGATCTGCCCCTTTTCTAACGTTCCCCCAAGGCCTCCAGCGGCCTCCGGAAGCCATTCACCGAAACGACGTCGTTCACCGAGTTCGACACAGCTCGTGGGCTTGGCCCACGAGCTGTGCTGCACCAAGACCAAACTCCAGAAGAGCCTTTCAGGTCTCGTCTCTCACTCCAGGGACCAATGCATGAACGAGCTCCATCCGGAGTAGCAATAGATGAATACCAACTTTGTCCACAACGAAACACCCATTCCCAATTGCATAGACTAGATGGATATACTAGGCTAAAGATGGCTGAAGGCCATGTCAGGACTGTCTTGGTGCCTCTGCCTCCGAAAGGCAGTATCTTGTGTACATTAGCCGGCAGGTAGAGAACCGTCAAGTTCCAGCACCGAGCGAATGGAACTTTGGGGTCTACCTTGCCACGCTGCAGTCTAAAGACCCTGGAAAATTATTGCAGTGAGGCTGAAGTTCGCATGGTAAAGCCTGACAACTGCCGCTTGGAACCAGTGTGAGCCAAACCCAGAAACCCTACAGTACGACAAAACTACTCTGCTGAATATATAGCACAGGCAAATCGGGGTCAAGGACTCCTGATCGGGCCCCCAATTTAATAATCCAATTTAGCCTCAGAGTTCAAGGAACAGAACAAACCCTGATGGGCTCCTACAGTTGCCCCTAAATTGCGTGGTTCGGCCAGTATGTCAATATGCAGAACCCCCAAAAACCGACCACAGCGACGGGTCAGCATCAGTGCGACCGAAGATAGCTCACAACTGCCACCAGTGACCCATCCTTGACCGTGACAGGCTTCACCAAAAGATCTACAGCAGCGCTGTGCTCACAAAGGACTCACGCTCAGCAGAGCTGGGTCGGGGATTGTTGATCCGGTACCTCCCAGCATGCACTCCCGACGTGTGCCATATGGCTGGGGGGGCTGGGTGGGTGGGGCACTGCGGCATGATGTGATACTGGATGGCGGATGGATGGTGGAATGATGGCGGATGAGTGGAATTGGATGGATTCGTACCAACCTAGTACTGGATCTTCGTAGTCGAGCTCCTCGCCTTAGTAGTTGATTGAAGGCATCCATCCAATCCATGGATCCTTTGGTTTTCACACTAACCCTCCCCATCAGCGGCCCCTGAGGTCACTCCAACAGCTGCTCCTCCCGGATGGCGCGCAGCCGCGGGGTGAAGGCAGCAAAGGCGTCCTGGCACAAGCGGAACATCCCCCAAGAGAGATTGAACGGTGATGTGCCTCACTTGTTCCTAGTAGCGTCCTTGCTCCTAGCAGCGATGCCAGGAGCCCCTAGTAGCTTCTTGTTACTACTAGTAAGGCACTTGTTACTACTAGTAAGGCCTTTGTCTCAAGAAATGTGGTGCAGTTGGAATCACTTTTCCTCACCCTTAGTTGGACAATACCAGTGTCGTGAAAAAGCAGACCCGTCATGACTTGTCCACGCAATGCACCCCGCCCAATAAGTTGCGCACGAGCAGCGACAACGAACTCAAAAACAGTGCGCTCATTGGCATGTACAGGTTTCTGCAAACATTTGGGGTTGCTTTCACATCAAAAACAAGCAGGCAAAAATAGTATCCTGTTTTTAGATCACAAGACCACCAAAGAAAAACACTATATAGACAGCATAGAATAATCGTTTATGATCACAATGAAATACGGTCCAGGGAGGAGTCCAACCATGTCAAACCTCCATCAAGATGCTCGCATCTGCTTGCACAGCAGAGTCGCAACGCCTTACCCATTAGGCGCCTGGTCCTACACATTCTTGAGAAGACGTTTAAAGGAAGGCACCAACCAAGTTGGTGGTTGACCCCCCAAAAAGCCACTGCACCCCATGGCCCACGAGTCCTCCAGGTTTGGACCCTCCGCCTGACGGGTGGAGACCGGTGATTGTTTGCAGCTGGATTTGCCACGCTTGAAGGAACATGAAGTAGCCCAATTGGTTCATCCTGTGACCTGGACATAAGTCCAAGCGAAATTCAATCTTCCGCACCTCCTCAGACGCGAGGCTGTCGTTGGTCTGAAACCTGCGTCCGGTGTCGAGTGGAGGTGTCTCGTGTCAGGTAGGTCAAACGTCTGTGCCTGGAACACTATATCTGAACGATGGTCCAAGGCCAAGCAGGTGGCTCTTCTTTCATTCCCCCAAAAGAAACAAATAGCACTTTGTCAAGATCAGACTTTGTTTAGGGCAGTACACCAACATATACCAACACTCCTCCTGCTTGAGCATCTTTGATTGCCAAGCCTTTAACCTATGGGGTTGAGGGCCTGGCCTCCCAAGACTGATGGCTCGTCGGGAGAAGCCACGCTTCGACTCAAGAGAAAGCATCGCCATCATCCCGTCCAGTCCCAATCATTCCCGGCGGACAAGAAACGACTTGACAATAAGAGACTAACAAGTAGCTGCATACTAGAACTCTTACTACCAGTAAAGCAGACTGTCATGATGTGGATTGATATGGCGGCATGAACATGATATTGCACGATGGCCAGTCATGCTACTAGGTTGGAGGCCATTGCTACTAGTTACATCTAGTTACTAGTTGCTTATTAGTTATATAATATAGTTGACATATGTTGTAGTAAGTTTCCCTCAACATCTAGGAACCAAATGAATACTGTAGCGCCTCTCTCCCTCACTTCATTAAATAGGTAAGTAGGGAGCGGAGGAAGAGTGGGCTAAAAATCAAAAAATATCGTTCCACACCAATCACGCGTCTGCTAGCGCCAACCTCGTCAAGCGCCGAGACATAGACAATGACTGCTGGATGTTGCCCAAGGGTCCTGTCAAAGCTGGTGAGGTATCACATGCTGTAGCTATAGTGGTTTCGGAGTGAATTGGGTGAGTAGACATATATTAATATATATATATATTTATATTAATATATATGATGTTGCCGACTGGTACTCAAGCCATTGGAGTGCTTTTCGCAACACTCCTTTCCACTTGTGCCATCTTATGCCGCGAGATGCCCCAAGAGATTCATCGACCACATGGCTTCAAGGCCTCCAAGTTCATCAGGGCCCAAAACATGACAAGAAATATATAGATATATATATATATACACTTGTATGTATCTATACAATTCTATACACTTGAATTTTCTTAAGGAACCGGAAAAACGAAACTCCTTATACAAGCAAAGCCAGGTTATATATATATATATATGAATATGATTATTAGAGTATCCGGCCGGCCGACTAACCGAGACGAGTCGGTTCAACCGGATGTGTCCGGTTGCCGGTTGTCCCGGTTGCCCGGTTGGTCGGTTGGCCGGTTGAACCGGCGGTTTCCCAGTTGGCCGGCTCAAGTGGCGGTTTCCCGGTGAGCCGGTTCAACCGGCGGTTTCCCGGTTGGCCGGCTCAACCGGCGGTTTCCCGGTGAGCCGGTTCAACCGGCGGTTTCCCGGTTGGCCAGCTCAACCGGCGGTTCAACCGGGAGACTGCCGGTTGAACTGGCCAACCGGAAACTTGCCGGTTGAACCGTTTAAAAAATGTCAACCGCCGGTTTAACCGGCCAACCGGGAAACTGCCGGTTGAATCGGCCAACCCGGTTGAACGTGCCAATCGGGAAACCTTCGGTTCGACCAGTGGTTCTCGGTGGCGGTTTCCTGGTACTGCCCGAGTCGAATACTAATCGGAGTTGGCCGGTTCAAACGACAATGTCATAGTTTCGATACGGAAACGAAAATTATATTGTGCGTGGGGTCCTCCTATAGCCTCACACACACCGATTCCAAAATTCTTCGCCCGCTTCCAAAGGGCGCTCGGAAAGAAGATGGTGAATTCGGACAACCTAGACGCTCCAATGGTGTCCATGGGGCATCGTGTCTACAAACGGCGTCGGGGTATGCCTCCTGTACAAAAGCATGCCCTTTGTAGCTGCAAGGGTGGAAAGCATGAAGCTCAAGCTACATACCATCAAGGCCATCGTGGCCATCATCTAGTATTTAGTGCGGTGCGTGGGAAAGGGTTTTAGAACGACAAACGAACACAGCTCTAGCCCCCATGAACCCCCAAGAACCCTTCGCTACACATTCAGGCAAAAGCCGCTTTGCGCACACACCCATTTTGAGACACTTGTTGTTTTTATTTGCAATGTTTGTGGTTTGCCATGACCATGGTGCATGGAACAGTATGCACGCGTACCACTTTGTGTGCGTGCGGCGTGTGTTTTCAAGCGTCGTGTGTGTTGGCAGTGTCGTTCCATTTGATGTGAGTGAGTTGTCTGAAGTCTGAAATGTCTTTGTAAGTAAGCCCGCTGTCAAGCAGCAGGCTGGCGACGTAAGTGTGTTGGGGTTGTTAGGTGCTTCAAGTTGGTCAGCGTGATAACCAAGCCAAAGTTCCAGTTGTTCTTGTGGGGTGCGTTGCTGGAATTGTGGAGATGGTCGCCATGGTTTGGTAGGCCTGCGAAGAGCTGGAATGTTGGGACAGCTGGTTTGTGATTGGTTGGTGACAGCATCTTGTTGTAGTGAGTCGTTGTTGGGGAGAAGTGAAATGGGGTGTCTGGAGCGGCTGCGTGACCGGCTGTAAGAGTATGAGGAGTATGTTGAGGAAGGTGATCGCGAGCGGTGGTGTCGCGATGATTGGTGCCTGTGAGTGGCATCATGCTGCGTTTTTGCGCGTGTTGTATGGTGGCGGCGATGGCGTCTGCCTCGAGTGTGATGGCGGTGGCGGCGGTGATGGTGCCGGCGTTGGCCGCGG